TGATTGCATTGTAGAAGTCATGGTCGTACGGAAATATGGCCTTAAACGAGCCAATGGTCGTGACCCAGACCCTGTTTGAAGGCAGCTGAAATCCAGGAAAGTTGAGACGCTCGTGGGTTAAGGCCTCAACGCGCGGCAATGACTGCATGTCCAGTTCCTTCACCGTAAAGATGTGCTGATCGTCGATCTTGACAAAAACATTCTCCGCATAGATGATGTGTCTCTCCTTGTGGCTGAAGAAGAGACCCTCCACGAAGAACTGCACCGAGTGACGCTCCGACAGCTTCAGCTCGCAGATGGTGCTACGCTCGGCTGATAACTCAATCACAAGTCCACCCCGGTGTCCCTTCGGAGTCGGCGGTGTCTGTGCGGCAGTCGCTGGCAAGGCTAGCTCCGCTCTAAGATCCTTCATATCCCTCACCAAGGTGAGCAAATGCATGTGCAGATTCGAGTTCCACATGGCCTCCGTGTTGCCGGGTATATAAATGGACAGATTGCCCAGCGTCCCTTCCACTTGTTCATGCTCCAGACGTATCATCTTGCATGTGGCAAACACGTCCGAGAAATCGGTGAGGCACAACGAAGAGGCGGTCATGGAACGCATGATGGCCATTTGGAATTCCTCAAGCTTGAGCGTGGTAAAGAGCTGCGACCGCGTCAGGTTGATTTCCGAGAAACTGAGCAGCATGTAGACATTGTGATGGTTCACAAAATAGGCGGTAATATCCTTGACCTTAACAGAGACGCGCAGCGAGGTAGATGATGGCTCAGGAAGGGACTGATGCACTCGTATTTGCTGGGACTGCTGCTTGGGAGATCTCTTTGGTTCCATTCCCCTGTACTGCCGTAGGCATTGCACGGACTTTACCACAAACTCCGCCAATTGCATGCTGTATTCTGTGCGAAAGGTGTGCACGGAAATGTCCAGTTTGGTGGTGTTTGCATAGGAGCAGAGCTTCACGAGGCTCACGCCCAGAAAGAACGGGGAGCCCGGAGAATGGGTCTTCTTTAAGTTGTTCGTGTCGTTGATGGAGTTGCCCAGATTGGACCAGAGCGTCTCCACCATCAGCTCCATGCTCCATTGGCGCTGATTCAGGAGCAGATTTAGAAACTTGTTGCCATAGAAAGAGCTGCGCTTCTCCTCGATCTGTTCTAGTAGGAACCGCGTATGGCTCACGCTCATAGCTATGTGCTCGTCCTCCAGCTTCATTAGCAGCGACACATTGAACAGCTCCGCACAGCCTTTGACCACAATGCGCTGCATAATCCACTCGAGTACGCCACTGCTCTCGCCGTCGCGACGCTGCTTCTCTCGCAGGCAGCTCTCTGCTGCCTTGTCCAGGTACAGATGATCGGGCAAGGACTTCTGTTTGTGCATTAGCTGCAGGGGATGCAGATGCTGCTGATTGCTGGAGCGCTGGCGGGCCAGGAAATTGTTGTTGACAAAGTCATAGATTTCGCTGTGGTTGTAGATGATTTGGAATGTCTTTAGCTTCACATACAAATTGAAGATGTCTTCCTCCAGCTAAAAGGTAAACAAATACGGTTTATTTACAGATCTTTATACTCTTAAATGCTTGGGGACTTGCCACAGAGTCTATGGTGAACTGCTCGACGAACAAAAGCTTTTCATATTTGGTATCAATGTCCAAATGTTTGAACACCAGCTTGGCCAGCATTGATGGCAGCAAAGTCTTTTCATCCCTCACATTAGAATTAAATTTACCCGTAATCTGCATTAAATATAAAATATAGTCTATTTTTCATGTTAATGGGTTGTCTCAGCTTACGTGAAACAACTGCAGCTTTGCACTGAAATCATTTTGCGAGTTCTCCTTGACGGCCGAAAATGTGGCCGCCTTGATGCTGAAATTAAAGTTCTTTGGTATAATCGGTGCCAGTTTCTCGTAGTTGTCATTGTCATAGGCAGCGTTTTTGGTCGGCTTGAAGGCGTCCTGCAGGCGCTTGGACGGCTGGCCGGGAGTTGTTCTTTCCTTGGCCTCACTGAGGAAGTCATACAATCCTCCGTGTATCACAGATTTCGCGTTGTTGATAACCAGACTCAGAGTCTGTCGAGGATATGTTATATTCCAAGGATTTACAATAGCCAAAGGTCTACGGGTTACTTACATCCATTGATAGAGGTCCCTGAGCAAAGAGAGACGCATCTAAGGTCACGTCAAAGCTCACCTCGCCCAGACACGGCCGAATCTTGTTGAGATTCTCCAGCGACTGGCGACGGGAACTGCAGTGCCTTAGCATTTTGGCCTGGGCCTCACTCAGGGCAGCATTGACCAGCAGAACTCGGGCGTTCTGCACAATGCTTCCGTCTAGATGTAGCTCCTTGGCTGTGGCATGAATGAACCAACCCGGATCGAAATCATTGTTCATCAGCACCACCGAAATGTTGTTTATGTGCACGGCCATAAACTGGGCAAAGGTTATGATACTCGCTGGAACCTTGGATTCTCGAAAATCAGGCACGCCCTTGGCCTCTTTGACCCTGTGCGGCTTGAGGGTCTCAAAGAAATCATCGCAGTCCTCATTGTGTCGTCTCGGTATGTCCTTGTTGATGCGTATGTCCCGGATATAGATGGAGAGTAGCTTGGTTACCTCGGTTGTGAAGAAACTGCTGCGTAGGCACACTTCCTCGATTTGCTAAGAGAAATCAGAAATATATCAGAAATATTGCTACATGGATATGGATCATCGATGGCAAGACTTACTACACCGAATCCACTCTTCTGGATGTTAACATTCTTGAGCGACAAGTAGGGCAACGAAATCCGACCAATGCGTACTCTGACCCGAAAGCGCTTCACCAAGAACCAGCTTATGCCCGCTGGCAAAATCCTAATCAAAAGAAAAGTGAGTAATAAATGGGTCAATGGTCAGCGGCGCAACCCTGCACTTACCAATAGAGCAGGATAAAAAGTGTAAGGCAGAATATTAGCAAATGAAGCATCATGCTTATGGTTCAACAACCATAGTGCCTCAATATGCCAGAAATTTTAATTAGAGTGGCGGTCCAGCTATGTTTATTTCCTGAAATTTATTAGTCTAACATGATGCGGGAATCTATTAATATCAGCTGTAAACAGATCAAATATACGGTCTGACCCCCAGAAATATACCGAAACATACCGTCTCACAGTCAAAATATACCGTAAATACTTCGACGAAAAAAACGAACCGTTTAAGAAGGTGAACTCTTGATTCGTTCAAATAATTAATTTTGCTCAAGATTTATCATCTTCGCTTAGAGAATTTTAATACCATCTGATCTACAAGGGGTTAAGCGTTCTCTGTGCATGGTTTAATATTACTAGCTAGCTGTATTAATATTATGATGGAATATGAGTACACAAAATTCGCCAGTATATTTACGGTATATTTTGAAACTGTGACGTATATTTCGCTATATTTATGAGGGTCAGACCGTATATTTTATCAATAGGGCCACGGTCACACTGCTCCCCAGCCTGTGGAAAATAAACAAATTGCAAAAATACGTAAATAGCGGGTCCCCTAAATATGTCGTTTCACTTAAGTACTAAAGAGCGTCTGCTTTTGCTTATCGACGACATTGAAATGATCGCAAAGGAACTGATCGAGCAGGCGCATCAAAAGATATCCAGCACGGAGCTTGGCGACTTGCTCGACTTGTTGGTGGCCAAAGATGAGGAGTTTCGCAAAATGCTGGAGCTGGCCGAGGAGCAGGCTAAAGTAGAGGATGCAATGGACAAGCTGCGTGCAAAGGTCGAAGTGCACGTAAGTTGAATTAATATTTGAAGATTGATTAGAGTGCCTGACTTGGCCCTGCATTCCTCTGTTCCACTCCAACAGGACCGGGAAATACAGAAGCTGCAGAAGTCGCTTAAGGATGCCGAACTAATACTCTCCACCGCTATTTTCCAAGCGCGTCAGAAACTGGCCAGCATTAACCAGGCCAACAAGCGACCGGTCTCCTCAGAGGAGCTCATAAAATACGCCCACCGCATCAGCTCGGCAAATGCTGTGAGCGCTCCTCTTACATGGTGCATCGGAGACTTACGTCGCCCGTATCCTACGGATATTGAGATGCGAAATGGCCTGCTGGGCAAATCGGATCAAAACCTTAACGGCGGTCAGGTGCCACATCAGAACAGCGGCCTTACACCAGATGTTCAGCGCGGATTATCTGGCCCTGGGGGAGCTGGCAGCGGAGGTGCTGGTGAAGTTCCGAGCGCCTTCCAAAACCAATTCAACTGGAATCTATCGGAATTGCATATGACAATGGGTGCTTCTGGCAATTCCGTAGCGCTGGAGACACGTGCTCAAGATGATGTGGAAGTAATGTCAACAGACAGTTCCAGCTCAAGCTCGAGTGACTCACAGTGATTGGGGGGACGGCAGAAGTTAATTTATCATTATTTTGTACTGTACTTATAGCCTAAATAGTAAGTAGGTATTCAATAAAACAAAATTTTGTAAGATCACGGTTCTAGCAAAATATTCATTCAAAAGTCGGTGGCCGATAACGATAAGCAGAACGATACTATGCTCAAAAAAAAACCAACAAACCCATTTCACGAACAAGCAAAATCACGAATCACGAGCAGTTCACGCGTTTTACGTTTTTTTGCGCTTTTTGTACTTTTACCTTTTTACTTGGCGTTTTTTTTGCTTTTAAAATGGAGTGCAGCGCGATGCAGCGTGTTTTACCTAACTAAAATGTGGCGAAGATGTAGTTTAAAGTTGGTGCATATAGCTTATTTAACTCGTGCGTGTGTATACCCAACGCAAAGGCCTTGAAAAGATTGTCGAAAATTGTTCCCAGTCAGGAGTGTGCTGTGTGTGTGCCCCAAGTCCCGAGTACATTTGAAAGAAGCGAAGAAGCAGCAGAGGCGACTCGAAACTCAAACCAATTGCAATATATTAAAGTGGTCAGGGAGGGAGCAGGAAACTCATCACCACCGCCGCGGCACCCCGCATTCACGTTACACACACAACACAACACATTTTCTTTTCCCTTATATTGTTGGAAAATTTGCAACGCGTGTGCAAGTGGCGACATGACAATTTTTTGGATTTATACACTGCATGTTTGAATTATTGTAAAATTAGAGCCGCAGCCACAAAGCGGAATCCTAGAATTGACTCGATCCAAATAAGTTTTCCCAAAACAAAACTAAACATGATGATTCAGGAGCCTGTTCAGGTAAATCAATAGCAAAAAATCATATGCAGAAAAGAAAAGCGCTCTAAGATCCTTCATATCCCTCACCAAGGTGAGCAAATGCATGTGCAGATTCGAGATCCACATGGCCTCCGTGTTGCCGGATATATAAATGGACAGATTGCCCAGCGTCCCTTCCACTTGTTCATGCTCCAGACGTATCATCTTGCATGTGGCAAACACGTCCGAGAAATCGGTGAGGCACAACGAAGAGGCGGTCATGGAACGCATGATGGCCATTTGGAATTCCTCAAGCTTGAGCGTGGTAAAGAGCTGCGACCGCGTCAGGTTGATTTCCGAGAAACTGAGCAGCATGTAGACATTGTGATGGTTCACAAAATAGGCGGTAATATCCTTGACCTTAACAGAGACGCGCAGCGAGGTAGATGATGGCTCAGGAAGGGACTGATGCACTCGTATTTGCTGGGACTGCTGCTTGGGAGATCTCTTTGGTTCCATTCCCCTGTACTGCCGTAGGCATTGCACGGACTTTACCACAAACTCCGCCAATTGCATGCTGTATTCTGTGCGAAAGGTGTGCACGGAAATGTCCAGTTTGGTGGTGTTTGCATAGGAGCAGAGCTTCACGAGGCTCACGCCCAGAAAGAACGGGGAGCCCGGAGAATGGGTCTTCTTTAAGTTGTTCGTGTCGTTGATGGAGTTGCCCAGATTGGACCAGAGCGTCTCCACCATCAGCTCCATGCTCCATTGGCGCTGATTCAGGAGCAGATTTAGAAACTTGTTGCCATAGAAAGAGCTGCGCTTCTCCTCGATCTGTTCTAGTAGGAACCGCGTATGGCTCACGCTCATAGCTATGTGCTCGTCCTCCAGCTTCATTAGCAGCGACACATTGAACAGCTCCGCACAGCCTTTGACCACAATGCGCTGCATAATCCACTCGAGTACGCCACTGCTCTCGCCGTCGCGACGCTGCTTCTCTCGCAGGCAGCTCTCCGCTGCCTTGTCCAGGTACAGATGATCGGGCAAGGACTTCTGTTTGTGCATTAGCTGCAGGGGATGCAGATGCTGCTGATTGCTGGAGCGCTGGCGGGCCAGGAAATTGTTGTTGACAAAGTCATAGATTTCGCTGTGGTTGTAGATGATTTGGAATGTCTTTAGCTTCACATACAAATTGAAGATGTCTTCCTCCAGCTAAAAGGTAAACAAATACGGTTTATTTACAGATCTTTATACTCTTAAATGCTTGGGGACTTGCCACAGAGTCTATGGTGAACTGCTCGACGAACAAAAGCTTTTCATATTTGGTATCAATGTCCAAATGTTTGAACACCAGCTTGGCCAGCATTGATGGCAGCAAAGTCTTTTCATCCCTCACATTAGAATTAAATTTACCCGTAATCTGCATTAAATATAAAATATAGTCTATTTTTCATGTTAATGGGTTGTCTCAGCTTACGTGAAACAACTGCAGCTTTGCACTGAAATCATTTTGCGAGTTCTCCTTGACGGCCGAAAATGTGGCCGCCTTGATGCTGAAATTAAAGTTCTTTGGTATAATCGGTGCCAGTTTCTCGTAGTTGTCATTGTCATAGGCAGCGTTTTTGGTCGGCTTGAAGGCGTCCTGCAGGCGCTTGGACGGCTGGCCGGGAGTTGTTCTTTCCTTGGCCTCACTGAGGAAGTCATACAATCCTCCGTGTATCACAGATTTCGCGTTGTTGATAACCAGACTCAGAGTCTGTCGAGGATATGTTATATTCCAAGGATTTACAATAGCCAAAGGTCTACGGGTTACTTACATCCATTGATAGAGGTCCCTGAGCAAAGAGAGACGCATCTAAGGTCACGTCAAAGCTCACCTCGCCCAGACACGGCCGAATCTTGTTGAGATTCTCCAGCGACTGGCGACGGGAACTGCAGTGCCTTAGCATTTTGGCCTGGGCCTCACTCAGGGCAGCATTGACCAGCAGAACTCGGGCGTTCTGCACAATGCTTCCGTCTAGATGTAGCTCCTTGGCTGTGGCATGAATGAACCAACCCGGATCGAAATCATTGTTCATCAGCACCACCGAAATGTTGTTTATGTGCACGGCCATAAACTGGGCAAAGGTTATGATACTCGCTGGAACCTTGGATTCTCGAAAATCAGGCACGCCCTTGGCCTCTTTGACCCTGTGCGGCTTGAGGGTCTCAAAGAAATCATCGCAGTCCTCATTGTGTCGTCTCGGTATGTCCTTGTTGATGCGTATGTCCCGGATATAGATGGAGAGTAGCTTGGTTACCTCGGTTGTGAAGAAACTGCTGCGTAGGCACACTTCCTCGATTTGCTAAGAGAAATCAGAAATATATCAGAAATATTGCTACATGGATATGGATCATCGATGGCAAGACTTACTACACCGAATCCACTCTTCTGGATGTTAACATTCTTGAGCGACAAGTAGGGCAACGAAATCCGACCAATGCGTACTCTGACCCGAAAGCGCTTCACCAAGAACCAGCTTATGCCCGCTGGCAAAATCCTAATCAAAAGAAAAGTGAGTAATAAATGGGTCAATGGTCAGCGGCGCAACCCTGCACTTACCAATAGAGCAGGATAAAAAGTGTAAGGCAGAATATTAGCAAATGAAGCATCATGCTTATGGTTCAACAACCATAGTGCCTCAATATGCCAGAAATTTTAATTAGAGTGGCGGTCCAGCTATGTTTATTTCCTGAAATTTATTAGTCTAACATGATGCGGGAATCTATTAATATCAGCTGTAAACAGATCAAATATACGGTCTGACCCCCAGAAATATACCGAAACATACCGTCTCACAGTCAAAATATACCGTAAATACTTCGACGAAAAAAACGAACCGTTTAAGAAGGTGAACTCTTGATTCGTTCAAATAATTAATTTTGCTCAAGATTTATCATCTTCGCTTAGAGAATTTTAATACCATCTGATCTACAAGGGGTTAAGCGTTCTCTGTGCATGGTTTAATATTACTAGCTAGCTGTATTAATATTATGATGGAATATGAGTACACAAAATTCGCCAGTATATTTACGGTATATTTTGAAACTGTGACGTATATTTCGCTATATTTATGAGGGTCAGACCGTATATTTTATCAATAGGGCCACGGTCACACTGCTCCCCAGCCTGTGGAAAATAAACAAATTGCAAAAATACGTAAATAGCGGGTCCCCTAAATATGTCGTTTCACTTAAGTACTAAAGAGCGTCTGCTTTTGCTTATCGACGACATTGAAATGATCGCAAAGGAACTGATCGAGCAGGCGCATCAAAAGATATCCAGCACGGAGCTTGGCGACTTGCTCGACTTGTTGGTGGCCAAAGATGAGGAGTTTCGCAAAATGCTGGAGCTGGCCGAGGAGCAGGCTAAAGTAGAGGATGCAATGGACAAGCTGCGTGCAAAGGTCGAAGTGCACGTAAGTTGAATTAATATTTGAAGATTGATTAGAGTGCCTGACTTGGCCCTGCATTCCTCTGTTCCACTCCAACAGGACCGGGAAATACAGAAGCTGCAGAAGTCGCTTAAGGATGCCGAACTAATACTCTCCACCGCTATTTTCCAAGCGCGTCAGAAACTGGCCAGCATTAACCAGGCCAACAAGCGACCGGTCTCCTCAGAGGAGCTCATAAAATACGCCCACCGCATCAGCTCGGCAAATGCTGTGAGCGCTCCTCTTACATGGTGCATCGGAGACTTACGTCGCCCGTATCCTACGGATATTGAGATGCGAAATGGCCTGCTGGGCAAATCGGATCAAAACCTTAACGGCGGTCAGGTGCCACATCAGAACAGCGGCCTTACACCAGATGTTCAGCGCGGATTATCTGGCCCTGGGGGAGCTGGCAGCGGAGGTGCTGGTGAAGTTCCGAGCGCCTTCCAAAACCAATTCAACTGGAATCTATCGGAATTGCATATGACAATGGGTGCTTCTGGCAATTCCGTAGCGCTGGAGACACGTGCTCAAGATGATGTGGAAGTAATGTCAACAGACAGTTCCAGCTCAAGCTCGAGTGACTCACAGTGATTGGGGGGACGGCAGAAGTTAATTTATCATTATTTTGTACTGTACTTATAGCCTAAATAGTAAGTAGGTATTCAATAAAACAAAATTTTGTAAGATCACGGTTCTAGCAAAATATTCATTCAAAAGTCGGTGGCCGATAACGATAAGCAGAACGATACTATGCTCAAAAAAAAACCAACAAACCCATTTCACGAACAAGCAAAATCACGAATCACGAGCAGTTCACGCGTTTTACGTTTTTTTGCGCTTTTTGTACTTTTACCTTTTTACTTGGCGTTTTTTTTGCTTTTAAAATGGAGTGCAGCGCGATGCAGCGTGTTTTACCTAACTAAAATGTGGCGAAGATGTAGTTTAAAGTTGGTGCATATAGCTTATTTAACTCGTGCGTGTGTATACCCAACGCAAAGGCCTTGAAAAGATTGTCGAAAATTGTTCCCAGTCAGGAGTGTGCTGTGTGTGTGCCCCAAGTCCCGAGTACATTTGAAAGAAGCGAAGAAGCAGCAGAGGCGACTCGAAACTCAAACCAATTGCAATATATTAAAGTGGTCAGGGAGGGAGCAGGAAACTCATCACCACCGCCGCGGCACCCCGCATTCACGTTACACACACAACACAACACATTTTCTTTTCCCTTATATTGTTGGAAAATTTGCAACGCGTGTGCAAGTGGCGACATGACAATTTTTTGGATTTATACACTGCATGTTTGAATTATTGTAAAATTAGAGCCGCAGAACAAAGCGGAATCCTAGAATTGACTCGATCCAAATAAGTTTTCCCAAAACAAAACTAAACATGATGATTCAGGAGCCTGTTCAGGTAAATCAATAGCAAAAAATCATATGCAGAAAAGAAAAGCAGAAAACATTGATTTAAACTCTCTCTCTCTCTCTACCTGCCTTTCCCCTTTCCGCCAATCATGCAGGCAGCCATATGGCATTGCATGAACTACTACGACCACAAAGATGCTGTTTTTTTGGCGGAGCGCCTGTGCTCTGAAGGTATGTACTGCTGGCTGGCTGGCGGCCTTGGCGTGTGTGTCAAGGCCCTTCGCGTGGCTGTGTGTCTAATTCTTTATTCGCTCTATTTTGCTTGCAGTGGAATGCGACGAGACGATATTTCTACTGGCCACCAGCTACTTTCGCTCCAATCTCGTGCACCAGGCCTATTGGCTGCTCAAGGAGAAGGCGCGCCGCTCGGCCCAGTGCCGCTTCCTACAGGCCAAGTGCGCCTACGAGTTGAAGAAGTTTGCCGAGGCCGAGAGCGCCCTGATAAACACTGGATTTGCGGACGCGAAAAACTTCGACGAGCTGCAGCGTGACTTTGGAGAATTGGCTTGCTTTGCCTACCAGCTGATAGCACAAATCTGCATAAAGACCGAGCGCAACAAGCTGGCCGCAACTGCTCTGAGGCGGGCTCTGAAGCTGAACCCCTTCATGTGGCATGCCTTCGCGGATCTGTGCCTGCTGGGCCAGGACATGGACACTGCGTCAATATTCCAAATCCAAAGCACGGATGTGTTCAACACCTGCCAAGGCAGCAGCGCCAATGCTACTTCCATGGTGCTATTCGGCAACGAGCAGCAACAACACCAGCAGCAGCAGGTGCAGCAAACGGCTCTTGAGAATGTACTCACGAAGATAAGCAATATCTCCAATTACGTTTGGACCACACCGGTGGATCATCACCAGGCACAGCAGCAGCAACAACAGAATCAGAACCAGCATCAGCTTGGGATAAACAACAACAGTAGCAACCTGATGACGCCCATTAACAATAACAACATCAACAACAATCTCAACAGCTCCATGAGCATGCTTCGAGGCGGAGGAGTCGCCCAGAACTCCAGCATGCTGGCGATGCTGGAGGATACGCCCATGGGCTGTCCCCAAGAGACGGGCCAGCCGCAGCCGCAGCAGCAGCAAAGTCAATTGTACGACGTCAGCAGTGTCACTCCGTTCCGTAAACAATTCAAATACCTATCCACCATCTCGCCCACCACTCCCAGCTTCGGGGTTTGGCCCTTGACTAGTCCCTGTTCTGGGAGCGATGGCTCATTCGTCGGTGGCGGTAGCGTTGTCAGCGGCAACGGAACCCACACTCCAGTCATGAATATCACGTACTCCCCCATGACCCAAATGCTCGTCGAGGTCAACCAGGAGCCCAAGATGATGGGCAAAAAGCTAAAGACACATGTGGGGGGACTGATAAGCCGCAAGGACACCAGCAGCAACAGCAACAAGCCCGCCGTTTTCACCCAAGCCGGCAATATAACGCCGCGAACACCCAACAATAATGTGGGCAACGGCAATAATCTTAATGTGCCGCCCAATCCCAACGCCGCTGTGCGCCGCAGCTCGCGCCTGTTCAGCAATTCCGCCTACTCTGTAAAAGAGAACAACAAGTCGCCCAACATAGCCAACAATAAGTTTGTGCAGCCACGCTCGCCGCCCAGGAAGACCAAGTCCCGCATGACGAAGATCTGCCTAAACAACGAGCTGATTGAGGAGAAGACCAGCCACTTGTCGGACAAGTTGAGCGACAAGCAGGCGCGCAAGGAGAAGGTCGAGACGATTACGTCGGCAGCCAACAACAACAATAACCGCAGTGCCGCCGAAGAGGCCAAGGTGCTGCTCAACAACAACCTGAACAATGCCCAGACCATGGCCCATCAGCTGCTAAGTCTAAAGAAGCAGTCGGCCGACGGTCTCATGTCGCTGCTCCGCGACTTGGCCGAGGCCTATAAGCTGATCTCGATGTTTCAGTGCAAGTCGGCCATCAAGCAGCTAGAGACAACGATACCAAAGCATCATTTGAATTCCAGTTGGGTGCAGTCCCTGATTGGCCTGTGCAGATACGAGATGAGGGACTACGAAGCGGCGGTGGTGCTCTTCGAGGCCATACACAAGGCGGAGCCGTGTCGCCTAGACTACATGGAGATATACTCAACATCCCTATGGCATTTACAAAAGGAAGTAGAGCTGTCCTCGCTGGCCCAGGACCTCATCAGTCAGAACAAGAGCAGTCCAGTGACCTGGTGTGTGTCCGGCAACTGTTTCTCCCTGCATAAGGAGCACGAGACGGCCATCAAATTCTTCAAGCGAGCCGTCCAGGTGGATCCCGACTTCGTCTACAGCTACACCCTGCTGGGCCACGAGCTGGTGCTCACCGAGGAGTTTGACAAGGCCATGGACTACTTCCGAGCGGCCGTCGTGCGCGATCCCAGACACTACAATGCCTGGTTTGGTATTGGCACCATCTACTCCAAGCAGGAGAAGTACGAACTGGCCGAGATCCACTACATGAAGGCCTTGAAAATCAATCCGCAGAACTCTGTGATCCTGGTCCACATCGGGACAATTCAGTTCTACATGAAGAAGAAGGACCTGTCGCTGCAGACCCTCAACACGGCTGCCACACTGGATCCAAAGAATCCGCTGGCGCGATTCCATCGGGGCTCGATATACCACTCGCTGGGAAAGTACCAGGAGGCCCTGCGTGAGCTGGAGGAGCTCAAGGAGATTGTGCCAAAGGAATCTGTGGTCTTCTATCTCATTGGCAAAATACACAAGACTCTCGGCAACATGGATCTGGCACTGATGCACTTCAGCTGGGCCACCGATCTCGATCCCAAGGGGGCCAACAATCAAATCAAAGATGCCTTCGACTCAATGGCCCACCCCAGCTGCTGTACGGCCAACACGACTGCCCTCGATGTCGATCTCGAGCCCAATTCCGAGCGATCCGATGACTCGACGCAGGCTCAGCAGGATGTTAGCTACGACAGTGACTACTAAATGCAGCATCCTGCGACGCTGCGATGCTGATGATGATGCGGTTGTATATACATTTACGTTGAAACAAAAAAAAACAAAACAAAGTAAAGCCACGATTGCTGCTGTCGATTGTCGTAGAAGTAGAATGGGAAGGCAAAGCAAACCAATTATTGAAGTATAATAAAGTCTAGATAACGTTTAGAATTAGTAATTTAAAATATATACAACAAACAAAACAAAACAAACGTAAAAGGTTTAAACAAAATTCTGCACTCTGAAAGTCTAAGGCAAAAATAACGTAAAGAAAAGGAAACAAAAAGGAAAACAGAAAAACTATACATATTAAATACCAATTAAAAGAATACAGAAATTGCTACATAAGCTTCCCGATACTTCTTTGTGGCCCAAGGGCGCTCTCTACGTTGCTGACTTGGACCTGTCCTGTCCTGTCCCCACTCCTGTGCCTCCCACAAAAGCAGAGAATATACTGAATTATCGAAAAACACCTGCAAATAATCAATCATTGGTTGGCTTCTCCAGTTTCAGTGGCCAATTTAGTATCTGCTCGTGCGTCAGGCGCTGTGTTAGGTCGAGGACTGCTCGAAGGCGCACCAGCTCCACATTCAGCATCATGGCCATGGCCGGCAGGTGATCCTCGATGAGGATATACTGACGCGGGCACTGGACGTTCAGAATGCGGCTGATGTTCTTGGTGCCGAATATCTCGCCGATGGAGTCACTCAGGGAGAGCGTGCCAGAGCTCTCCGAGCCTGGATTGGGTGGCGAGAGGTCGTCAAAGGTCGTCAGAGGTGCCTTCTGCGGCTCTGGCACGGGAGTGAGCTCTGGTGTGGGGCACATTTCACGCAGCTGGGCCGCTGGAGCCGCTCTGGGACGCATGTGCATGTAGCTCCTGTCTCCCCCTCCCAGAGGTGGCAGCTGGTGTACAAAATGTGCTGGATACTTGGGCGGCAGCTTCGAGGGAGACTGCTTCTGATACTCTGTCCCATATCGTTTAAAAGTGGATGACTGTTTTGGTTTGCCTTGCGTTGAGGATCCTTCGTTCGGCGGCTTTAAAGGGATATCAAGTGGTGGAACTTTCTTTTCAACATAAGCAGTGGAGGTCTTCCTGTCTTCCTGCTGCTCGCAAATCCGTTGACTATATTCCTTGTATGATTTGGCCAGCAGTTGCAGTTGACTACTCGACAAACAACTGTCTTCAATAGGTGATGTAGTCGAGGGACAATGTTCCTGCATCACTTCTGGTTGCGTTTGCTTGGATTGTGCTCGGCTCTTGCGCCTCTTTAAGGGAATAACCTGCTCCTTAGTTTGTTCTTCATATGTTTCTCCAAAACACTCTGAAGTCACAGGACGCTGATCCTGCTTGAAAAAAGAAGTGCCTTGTCCTGCCTTGCCTTGAGATGCAATCTGGCCCTTCAGCTGCTTTAAAGGGTTATTCTTGTTGTTATTCGAAGAATGCAAAGATCGATATTTTTTCTTTAAGTGCACAACTTGAGATGAAGGCCTCTGCTGCTGCAGCTCCTGAAGTGAGTCTTGCGCCGAATTAGCAGGACGCTGAAGCTGCTCTCGATACTCGCCTAGCTCCCACTGTGTAGCTGACTTCAGCACTTCTGATTGGCTCTTGTGTAGTTCTTGGTAGAAGCTAATGCTATTCTTGGCATTTTTCGTTGTTCTTTTTGCCGGTGGCCGGCCCTTGCGGCGCTTTAAGGGAACAACATGCTTCACAGACACGGAACTTGATCGCCGTTTGATCGCCACTGGTTCTTCCTGGTGCACAATTTGAGTCAACGGCAGAAGCTGGCAAAGTGGTTGACTCCATTCATCATCTGTTTCGTCGAACAGTTGCGGGGAGCCAGCATTTTCTAAAGATTTCGTTTTTGTTTTACAGCGGCTTTCCTTATCAATCAGTCTTTGCGATCTGCGCATTTCTACTTGCGATTCGGATGGAAGCTGAGAAGCTGCAGACGCTGTTACATTCCGACCAGGCGATGGTGATTTTTGATCCATGTTATTAAATATTACTTAATTTACTATTAAATTCGTTAAAATATATCCTTCAACTTCCGTTACGTTAATGGTGGCTCTGCTTTCGATTAGATGATATCGTTCCTTCACATTCGTATCGAAGTAGTGTTGCTAACTCAGCTATTTTATGGCTAGTTAATGCTACTATTAATTTTCGATTAATAAAAATATTTGAAGATGCTTTTAGTCTAAAATCACACTATATAACATATATATATGTTTTGCTATTTTTTTAAAATAATAAATAAAATAGTTGGCTATTTTTAAAGGAATTTTTTTAAATTAAAGCTAAGCTATTTTTTAGTGTTGTTTGGTTTCACATGACAGCTATTTTTTTTTTATAAAAAGTTGTCTTTATCGAAATAACGTCGCTCATCTCTAGTAAGTAGTTTCGTTCTCACAGCTGGCTGGTCCTAGAGACTTTTTTTGTTAGCGAAGGAAATTAAAATGACTGAAGCCGATAATTATAATATAATAACAGATCAAGCGTTAGTGAAAAATCGTATATTTGTAGGTAATCTTCCGGTGTGCACACGCGAGGAGCTGGCCAGTATTTTCCTTCCGTATGGCGAAGTCCTGGGATCGGTGGTGCAGAAAAATTATGGATTCGTGCAGTTGGAATCAGAGGAGGTGGCCAATAAATGTGCCATGTCCCTAAACAAATCTACATTCAAGACAAAAATATTGAGAGTACGTAATGCAAACAACAGAGTCGCAAAGGGGACAAATGCAAACGGAAATGCAAAGAACCTCCAGATGCCCCAGGTTCCTGTGACAGTTCAAGGAGGCATTGTGATGTCGGCAGCGGCCGCAGCAGCCGGAGAGCCAGTCATCAATGATTGCGAAATTATAGTAGTAAATAGAGATAATACGTGAGTTGGCATTCACTTAGCTCAGAACCAAGCAACAATTAATTGAATCTTATAACTTGTGCAGAAAATATGCGGAATATATTGAGCACCGGCTGAGGAATATAGGCATGCGAGTGGATGTTCTGTTTCCCAATGAGGATGTCATGTTAGGCAAGGTGTTGGCCAACATTTCTTCGCGCGGCTGCCTTTACGCCGTGCTCGTCACGCCCCAGCACGAATCTCTCAGCAGCATTACAGTTAACATATTGTATGGAGTCCCTGCCGAGCATCGCAACATGCCGCTTGAGGATGCCGTAAATTTAATCGCCACAGACTTTAGGCTGAAGGGACAGCGTGAAGCCGTGAACAACTCCGCCGGGCCAGCTTCGATGCCTCAACCCCAAAGACGACATCCTGACCAGATGCAGCAACTGATCGACATGCTTGCAGACAATCGACCGATGACGGCCTTGCAATATGAATGCATAATCAAATATCTGCAAGGGGAGCGGGAGGATCAGCTGAAGAGAGAGGTGGGCGAGGCCAACGCCACTGCTAAGCTTCTGGATCCTGATCCAGAAATCGAGCTGCAGAAGAAAATTCTTAGTATTATGAACAAACCTGCGGTGACCGAAACGGGCATAGAGCTAATGTATCCAAACCTGGAGGCGGTCAGGGACGACAAACGGCTCATGGAGCTACTGCGGGATGAGCGTGTAATCGCAGCAATGGAGACTATTTTCAACAGTGACACCTTATTTGACGCTGTAGCCGAGTTATTATAGATTCTCAAACTTTATTATTATATACTTTATTATACACTAATAAAATATACGCGAACTAACGAGCTCTAAAAAATATCTTTTAAGGCCAAGACCGCTTGGCTTCATGCCCTTCGTACTTGCCACGGTATTTCAGACCCGTCACCAGAGTGGAGCTCTTCGGGAACGCTGTCTTTCCATTAAATTTGGTATCCGTCTCGGGGTTGAAACGCAAATATTCGTACTGTATGTGCAAATTCTCAGGAAGGTCTGTGCGCCTAAGAGCATCCAAAGGCGCAGTCGTGTCGACAGGAGTCTCGTAAAATGCTATCACATCGGCCACGGTGCAGATTTCATGGACCTGGGAGTTTGGAACTCCGTGCTGCAGTTCCTGAAAGCATGCGGATAGAAATTGAAACTTCTCGGAGAGATTGTCCAGTTTTCGATTGTCACTGGTCAACTGCAGCGAGCTGGCCACGGAGCGTACACGATCCGCTGCATTGCTGGGGGGTGCATAGGGCTTGTGAGGCCGCAGAAACCTATGATGGAATACTAATTGTGAAAAAAATACATAACATATCGAAAATATTTACCCCTTTGCGGCAATTGATTCTCCAACAGCAGCAAGCGTCTTGCTTTTTATGGGCGCCGATTTTTTCACGTTGGCCGCCGTGGCGAAACATTTATGCAGATTTCCCACAAGCTAAGAAACACGATGTGTTTAAAGTTTAATAAATTAATTCATAAATTTATTCTTGTACTCACATTTTGGCTTTTACGTAAATTCGCTGCCATTTTCCGTATGATAATGGTATTTTTGTTGGACCTATTAAGGTAGTTTTTGGATGATGGTATTTATTTACTCTAATTGTATTTTTTGTGTATTTATGTAACAAAATTTATTAACAATTATATTATGCGTAACGATATATTCTATATTGAATTTTATTCAATATTTAAAATTCTAAGATAATTTGGTATTAACATTATGAAGAATTTGTGCTGGTCACACTAAAAAATTTTCAATTTATTCGACAAACTGGTATTTTGGACAGAACGCACTAGTGCCAGAGGATCCGCACCAGTTCTAAATCATCTATATTTACATTAGGATTTTAACGATTGATAAACATATAAATATACAAAAAATAACTACATAAAAGAATAATAGCAAAAACTAAGATCAAGAAAAGAAATGCCGTTTAATACCAGAACGGCAACTAATAGTATTTCGCTGGTGCATTCAAATCTGAGGGATAGGAAAATTTAGTCATGAAGATAAATTTAATCTTATTAAAGCCGTCGAATTAAGGACGAACACAAGCATGCTCCTTTAAAAAAAAATTAAATTTGTAAATAAACACAAAAAGTCTGACCCCTGGTCACACTATATAAGGGAGGAAAATGGAATCTCTAATTTTGAAGCATTGTCTAGCAGCATCGATAGCTTAATCGATAGATCTGCGCCTTATTTAGTCCCTTCGGTCACACTGCTTCAGGGTGACTTCTTACGGTATTTTTTATACTTTTCGATATTTTTTAGGTCGAAGTCGAGCCAACGGTATATTTAAGGTATGTCGGTATTTTTGGTATATTTAACCAGTATTTCATCGGTATATTTATGGTATATTTTAAAAATAAGACGGTCTGTTTTGGTATATTTCCGAGGGCCAGACAGTATCAGCGGTCACACTTACTGCATCCACTCTTTCTTTTTCCGGTCGCGAAATGGTAAGGACGCAGTAAACTGTAAACCGTAAACTGAAATTAAATTTATAAACATCTGAAAAGTGGTTGCAAGTTATTGCTTGTAAACTGGAATATGTGATGAAGGAACACATGCACAACAGTTGATAATAATATTTTCCTTCCAGGGTATTGATATCAACCACAAATACGATCGCAAGGTTCGCAGAACCGAGCCGAAATCTCAGGATGTTTACCTGCGTTTGCTCGTCAAGGTAAGATTATTTTCTGGCTGGAATTCAATAAGGAAGAGTCGCTAATTTATATTTCTATCATTCCCCAGCTGTACCGCTTCCTCCAGCGCCGTACGAACAAGAAGTTCAACCGCATCATCCTGAAGCGTTTGTTTATGAGCAAGATCAATCGGCCACCACTATCTCTGCAGCGCATCGCACGTTTCTTCAAGGCTGCCAACCAGCCCGAATCTACCGTTGTGGTTGTCGGCACAGTCACCGATGATGCCCGTCTGTTGGTGGTTCCTAAGCTGACCCTGTGCGCCCTGCACGTTACCCAGACGGCTAGGGAGCGCATCCTGAAGGCTGGCGGCGAGGTCCTGACCTTCGACCAGTTGGCCCTGAAGTCGCCTACCGGCAAGAACACCTTGCTGCTGCAGGGCAAGCGCACTGCTCGCACCGCCTGCAAGCACTTCGGCAAGGCTCCTGGTGTGCCCCACTCGCATACACGCCCCTATGTCCGCTCCAAGGGACGCAAGTTCGAGCGTGCTCGTGGTCGTCGCTCCAGCTGCGGTTACAAGAAGTAAGCAACTACATCGTGGACTTGGACCGTCGACGGCCGTCGTCACTTTTTGGTAAAGATATTGATTTGTCAGTTCGGAGGAAACTAGCCGTCGCACTCGTTGCGGCAATAAAGAATTTTTATTCCAAAAAGTGAAACTAATATTCTCAAGCTATGTACAAGTAATAGTCCTGCTCCTAGTGCAAGTGAGTGCTCCAATAGTTTATCAGTGGCTGGTCCTGCGGTTGGACACCCAACACCTTCTTCAGTTTGGCCTGCACACTGGTGGACTTGGCGTGATTCAGGCAGGTTGCTTTGCTGCAACAGGAAAATAGGAGCAATGTAAGCATTAGATACGGTTGCGTATGTACTTAAAACTCACTTTTTCCACTCCTCGATGAGAACCTTTGTCTGTTTGTTGAGCACCAGCTCTGTGAAGATCTTCTCCTCCACCGCCTTCAGCAGCTTAACCATGAGATCTGGCACTGCGGGGAAAAATATACATAGATACATATACGATAAAACTACCTTAAACTGAAATCATGCCGTAGTGCTTACGTTTTCTGGGCAACTCTCCCGGCCACTTGACGGAAACTTCGTGTCCGTTCACATGTTTGTCCAGAAAATCAATGCGAAACACAGAAGCGCTGGCTATGGGCACGGCAATGTCGTTGGACACCGATATAATCTTGTACTCGGAGCTGATTGAGTGCTGGTGCTGGGCATCGATGCGCATAAGATTATGCATGGGCTCTGGGAGGAGCTTCTTCAAGCACACCATAAAGCGGAAGGTGCGCTCGGGTGCGCCGCGGACTATGATTTTCACGCCCGTCAGAGCGCAGTAGCAAACTGTCGCGAACTCTTCCTTGCGGACCACGTTCTTGATGTGGCGCAGCGAGAAAAATTCCTCCTGGTCGGGGTCGTCAATGCTCTCCTCGTATTTCTGTATCATGGGCAGGGTGGAGCTGTTATAGGTGAGGCGCTGGGCGGGCGGGCGACCGCTGCTTTGATGTGGCAGCCAAGGCAGATTTCCGAAAGTTACGTGCTCGGTGAGGAAGCGCGAGCCGGCCAGCAGGAGCCAGGAAAAGTGTGAATGCAGCTGAGCAAATATGTTCTCCTCGCCCGTTAACTCCAGCAGGGAGCGCGAAGAATGCATCAGAAACGGTGCTCCAGAAAGACGTCTCTGTCGCTCGCTCTGACGTCGCTCCTCGGTCTCCTTGGTTTTGTTTGCTCCCGCCTGCAGCTCGGACGAAACCTTCTTGAGGTGCTCGGCCAGAAACGGCTTTGTGTTCAGCAGAAAGTACTTGTCCTTCATCAGGACTATAATCGAGTAGAGCTGGAAGTATCCCCGTGCTTGCAGATCGCTCACACGGAACTTGTGGCTGAGGATGTGGCCTCGCGTCGAGTCACCAAAGAACACAAACTCTCCATCCTTGTTTGAGTCTATCCCATTGCTGAGGCTCAGCACTGCTGCCTGCTTCACCATGGTGGCCACTTCAGTCAGGACGGCCACCCTCGTGCTCACAAAAGTGGCTCCACTCTCCGTGTCCTTACTGTATATCCCACTGTTGTTACGTCCCATGGAGTAATTGCAGGCGGAGCATGTCTTCTGCGATTGCTGTTGTTGATGCTGCTCGAGTGGCAGGTCCTCAATCTTGGTATCCCGCAGCGTCTGGGTGCAGAAAATGGCGCAGGGGCCGTGTGCCTCGCAGAAGTGGCAGAGCGCAATCACGGCGTTCATCGAAACCCGTAAATACTAGCTATTTTTTGATAAATAATACTATTTTGCTCTTGTTGTTTACCCGAGTCATATGATCTTGAGCGATATTTGTATTTTTGATACGATAAGATCGGTTATATCAGACATCGATAGTTTGTATACAGTGGAAAGGAACTAGTTCAATGTGGTAGCTCTCATGGTGTTGTGACATTAGACTTTACTGCGAGAGAGAGACAGCATGAGAGACCAAATGTAAAATTAGTGTTCATAGCCGACTCCGGCTATCAATGGAAAATTATGTTTTCAACACACATACCCACCCAGCCAGCAAAAATGGATAACAAGAGGAAGCAAGGAAATAAACCTGCAAGGACTAGATAAATCAATGTTTATTTTTTAAAGTTTTAAGATTTTTTAACGTCTACTGACGGACACGAAGTGAATGAAAATGTTTAAGCAAAACAACACAATTATTTAATTTGTTCTGCTACATCGCAACTACACGGATGTAGTTATCAACAGAATTTTGACAAACTTTTTTATTTTCTACGTTATTTTTACACGTATTTTACATTAAATTATTTTTTACTCAAGTAAATAATAATAAATAATAGGCTATTTACACTGGGGCTGCTTCATTCTTTTTCCCTTTACGTGCCGGACACGTTTTTTTTTTGTATATCCAGTGATCGAAGAGTTTAGATATACATATATTTGTTTATTGGTGGATGTGTGTAAAACTCTGAAGAAAACGTTTCCGAACATAAAGTGTGTATATTCTTGATCAGCATCAAAATCTGATTCATCCACAATTTTGAAGACACCAGAAAACGCAGCATCATAGAAATCGAAATCGCCGAATCTGGGTTAGATCATATAATTACTTTACCCAGAATGAAGAAAGCCATCCCCTTCCACACACCTACTCATTCTCTCTCTCTCTCTACCTCGTGCAGCGTGCGTGCTCTGGCATTGGAGAGCGAGATAGAACGACCGGTGTTGGTGTGAGAAGAAAGGAGAGAGAAGCAGATGTAAAACATATCGGAAACAGATTTTATATTATATAATTCTGATCAAATAGGTCATTGAGTGGAAAAAAGATAATCTAAGTGCAAGATTTAACATTATAACATAGCCAGCGGTCGTGGTTTCCCTCTTTCCCTTTATGGTTTTCCAAGTTCTCTCTGCGTTGACTGTCCCACCAAAATACCTCCTTCCCGCATTAACCCAAAGACAAAGGCAAAAGCAGAGAGAGAGGGCATGCTGCAGTCTTGGGTTCCGATACCAATAATAATAATAATAATAAATAATAATAAAATAACAATAATACTAATAATACTAATAACAATAATATAATAAGTAATATATTTTACGACACGTTTTCTTTAATCTAGGAGAAAATAATCTAACAGAATATGCCCCTATGAGAACTAATTTGAAGGAAAGAAGAGGGAATGATAGCCGCCATAGCTCACAAGGAGTTCGTAAAAGTTGAGGACCACATTATTGACGGACTGGACCAAATAGTGTGGATGAGAGAGTTTGTCAGGTTGGGATTGCTGAAAGCACGAAAGAAATGATTGAGTATCCACTCCGGCATCCACTTACATGGTGACCACACCTGGCCATAAGTCCTGCGAAGGTCATGATAAATCGTACCACAAGCACGATAGTCGTGATCCGGAGGCATCCACCAGTTCCTTCACTCCCTTTAGATCACCGTAGAAGAGAAGAGAACTGAACGTACCAGAAAAGTAGCTGCATGTTACTTCAGTCGGCATTCAATCATAGCACCTCACAGATGAGGATTCGAGCATTGGGAAGTACAACATCATTGTACAACTGCATACAATCAAATATTTTTGTGAGATCATATTATGTGTGTTACACATGCAATTTTGCCATTGTTCGGAACATGCCGAACGTCAGATCCGAGAATCTGGGAACGCACGCAGGAAATTCTGTTGGTACGTCTTTGTAAGTCTTTGTATAAACTGACGGATCTATGTATATACTGTATGGCTTTCTCTGTTTTACATTTAATCTGATAGCAAAGTCTCTAACGTCATAGCACCATTTGCATTTGAAATGGAAGGTGAACCAAGTTCCGAACTGGTTCAACGTGCTGTGTTACAAATCGCACGCTTTTGACCGCGAAACTTGAAATCTCATATAAGAAGTCGAAGCTTGAACTAAATAAAAGTTAAGTTTACATAAATAATTTCCAGATAATATTACAAAGTTAATTTCTCAATTCACTTGCATGTGGGTGCTGGGAGTGGCTCAGCCCAATCTTCTGGACGTCTTTATAACCCAATTCTTGGTCCGTGCTAAGTGGACGGGTAAATATTTATTGAAATTGATATAGCGGCCAGCGCTGAATATCATTCCTAAGTGGGATTCATTCTTGAAGAGTGTTGTGCCTGCATCGGTCGTCGGTTAATGATGAAAATGTTTTGGATGCTTCTTTATGGCTGCTTTCTTCCCCTGGCTAGCGCCGCCTATGACATTGTGATGCCTACGGCCACCCACAATCTCACGGACTACCTGCATACCCGGCAGAAACGTCATCAGCTGATATACAGGAACGGCGGAACAATACGGCTGGTAGTCGGACCCGTGATGCCCACCCAACTGGAGGATGCGGTTTCCTGGCGTGGTTTGCTCTACTTCTGGACACTCCACTTTGGTGGATACACGTTGCCCTCAGAACCGCTCTATCCCTGGGATAAATGGGAGACGATCTATGCGCGATCGCTGCAGGAGCAGGTCCGACGGTTGGATGCCTCGCACGAGGACGATACCCGACTGTTTGTATACGAAATCTTGGAGAAGTACATGGACCAGGCAAGTGGTTCGGTGGGTCTGGGCCGTCAGTGCTTGTTGCGCGGCATCTGCGAGAATGCCCAGATACATCAACACTTGGGAATCGTGGCAGAGCTCCTGAACATCTTGCTTACGTAAGTAAACCATACATAATTTTTCCAACACAATTCCAAACTTTTCATCGACTCTTGCAGACCGGGAAAGGCGCGCTTAGATCTTTCCTATAGGGAGGCATATGCGGCGGGGCTAGCCGGCAGCCACTGCTCGGAGCAGTTCGAGGAGTGTCCGAGAGGAAAAAGTGTCTTGGATGCTTTCGCAGTGGATTTGGAGGACTGAAGGCGATAGGAGCTTTGCGGGCAGAGCTAAACGTATGCTTTACAGAGTCTTGATTAGACTTCTTATTAGGTTTAAAACATTAAAAAACGTACAATAAAGGGTAGATCCTGATCAAAGGCTTCCGTAATAATGTCTCTTAATAAATGAAAGGATAAGCTTAAAATTGTCCCAAGAATGCACCGTCAGACCACACACATTATCAGCAATCTCGATTACATTTCCGCTGCCACCATGCAACGATAAATTTCTAACGGTAATTGCAAATGGTTTCAGCCACGCCTACCTCACGCAGACCAAGTATAGTATGTATCTTCTTGAAAGGAGAGTCAAAACCTGACCCTGCGCACCCCTTCTCCGCCACCCGTTCAAAAATCGCTTAACATTAATGGCTTGTGGCGGCGGCTGCTACTCCAGCTTTAGCTTCGGGCTGCAGCGAAAGCCAACTCACGACCGCCATTTTGTCAACAATGGCGTCAATTAAATGGAAAATGCAACCACCATGCAGCAGCAGCAGCAACAGCAACAGCAAGAACGACGAGGACGGGGACGAAAGACAATAAATGCGTCTTAAGTGGCACATTAGGCTTGCAGACGCTGACAGCAGTCTCCTCCATACAGGGTGTGGCAGCTTCGATATTTGCATGTGTGTAGCAAAAGGTATTAATAAAAAAAGAGGTCTTCCTAGAAAGCGTTCTCAACATATAAATATACATATGTACATATTTCCAAAGTGGCAACGAATTGATGTCACTCGGAAAATGGAGGCTACCTTCCGTGTGCGTGCATCACCCTGTTGGCGCTCCACTGCTCTCTCGCTTTCTCGTTGTCTCCACATCAGCATTTGTGTGCACAGCTAATTCAAATGCGATTATGACAACCACCGCGAAGAACAACGTAAGCAGGCGGAGATGGAGCCCCGTTAGAGCAAGGGAGCAAGACAGAGAGAGAGAGAGAGAGAGAGAGAGGGAGAGGGAGAGAGCGCTTGGGATAAAGGAACCATGCAAAGTGCAGCTAGCATTGGGAGAGGAGCAGAGCAGAGCAGAGCAAAACGGAGGGCGGTGGTGGTAGTGGGGGAGGCCCCCTCCCTGTTCAACTTTGCGGTGTTTGAACTTGTGATGGTGCATCGCAATAGGTAACTATCTGTGGCTGCCATGTTCATGCGGCGCTCAATATCACGATGCTGAGATGGGAAGTGCATAAGCTGGAAGCTTTTTCTGTAACATCTGTATCCCTGGTCCACTTGGAGTCGTTCAGTAAAACAACCAAGCCACAAACTTTTGAGGGCTGCAATACCTATCAACCCACAGACGACGCATAAACTGACATCGTAAACGCATGGATACACACACCCACACGGATACACACACATTCTCATCCTTGAACCATCGTCTGACAACACAGTTTCCTGCCCCGAAGACATGCATCCGTGCATTTCCGCCCCAAATTATGCAACAAGCACATCCATCCCAATCCGACACAGGACGAGACCCATTAGATATGCACTTTGATTTAGTCGAAAACTTTATTGTGGTTCCATCGGCTACGATCACCAGAAGCATCAGCAGTAAATCAATCATGCTCCACAATCAGTAGTTCGTCCAGGAAATTGTCCCCGCGTGGGCAGGTCCTGTAGAGGCCGAGGCAATCGGCGCCTGCCTTGCCAGCGGCATAGGCATCATGGTAGGATTTATCCAGATCCGCCTTGCCTGGGCTAAAGTAGGAGTTCGTTAGAGGCATCAATTCAATGAATCAAATTAAACGTTTACCTCAGGACAATGTTCAAGATTTCGGAGAACACCCCAATGTGGTGGTGGATTTGGGCATTTTCGCATATGGAGCGAAGCAGGCATTGCCTGCCCACGGCCATGTTATCATTCCTCCTGCCCATGTACTCCTCCAGAGCGGTGTAGACCAGCAGTCTGGCATCGTCTGCATACCGGATGTCTCCACTGGCGGCGTGCCTCTCGATGTTCCGCCTCATCTGTGTCAGGGAACGGGCGAAAGTGCCCTCCCACTTGTCCCAGGGCCAGATGGGTGAGGTGGGCAGCGAATAGGTGCCTCCCTGGAGCGTGAAGGACAGTACACAGGAGCGAAATGTGACATGATCCTCTAAGGGTATTGGCAACGATGGCCCGATGCTGAACTTCATCGATCCGCTGTTCTGATAGATCAGCCAGCGTTTCTGGCGGTGTCCCAGGAACTCGGTGACATTACGGGTGGTGGTGATGGTTAGGCCAAAGGCTGGCAGGGCTATCAAGAACAGACCCGTAAGGAGCACACGCACACCCATTCCGCACATCGTACATGGAAGGGCTTACCAAGACTAAATGCACTCCGGGCACAACTAAGCCGATATCTGGAACCACTCTAAGTGAGCCATCATCATTGCCGTTGAATGACGAGTGGAAATTTCAGAGGCGCAAACATTTGTGCAGGCAATTAGCATTACGAATGTGACAGAAATTGGGATAGTGATTGGGCTTTCGATGGGAATTGGACAGCTATGTATGTATGTAGTTATGACCGGGCGGTTCTTGTTTTCTATTTGCACACGTGAGTTGAAAATTGAGTGAACTACAATGACCGATTTGGGCCCGGGCCAAATGAAGTGACCCGAACAGCCAAGATCAAGATTACGGGTCACAGAAATACAGAGAGAGAGAGAGCCCCACTTATAAGACCATTAGGAAGTGGGTAATACTCACACACAAGGCACACAAAATCCACAAAATAAGGAAGTAAGCACGTTTCAATCGGCATTCCGACTTATAGATACCCACTACGCAGATACATTTATTGTTTTTCTCATTCTTAACGTTATAACTGTCCGATTGTGATGATTGAACTATGTATAGTTGTGCCACACTAGACTTCGATATAATTATAGGTATCATATCTTTTTTGAATTATAAACTATCAGGTAAGTTCAAGAAGGTTTAAGGATACATATATGTGTGTACTTTATACTTGAGAATACCTGTACATAAACAGACTGAAGAAACTAATTCCTTTTGTCTGTTACATACTATGTACATACCCTCTAAGTATTCCACGATTACGGGGTATGAAAATGTTTTGCAAATTATTTAGACAAATAAAGGAAGCCCGTACTGAGGCAAACAGTTTTGGTGCAGATAATATCCTTTTTTGGGTTGCTCTGTGATTTGTCGACGTGGCCGGAAATGAAAAGCAAACAGCAATGCCAGCGGCAACAGCAACAGAAACAGCAACAGCGATGCGATGCGGCAGCAGGGAAATAAATTTGCTTAAATAACAGCAGCAACAATTGGAAAATGGCAAACGGCAAATGGCAGAGTTGCCAACCGCAAAGCCAAAGACGAGGAGACCCAAGACCGTTGTAACGGGAACATACATAGATCGTTGCTTGGGCTCACTCACACACACACACATACACACGAAGACACAGGGCCTGACATGGCTGACAAAAGCACAATACCCTCCCCACCTGTCCCTGGACATTTCCGCTGTATGGGGGAGTCGGACATACCCCAGAAGAAATAAATTCGTGTTGACAATTTGAATGATTTATAGAAAATGCGTGCAGACCAAATTTTCACATGCCCCAGAGGCTGTGGGTGGGGCAGGGGAGAAAGTCGACAGGCGAAAAATAGCCAATGTCTAGGCCACAGGCATAGTACATAGTACTCTTAAATGAATAGATCAACAAACAAACTTTAGATCAGAAAACGTGGGTGCCCTCATTCACACTTGTCGGATGTTTATGGCCATATATATGTATCAAATATATTCATTCTGAATGATTCCACAGTATTTGCCAGTAATAGTCGTTCAATGTGTTTTTCCATTTTTAGATCGAATACCAAACGACCCATCCTTTGTTAAATAGTACATCTAATTGCTAATATGCTAAACAGATGATATAATTATAACGAAAATTTCTTCTTTTTTGGAGAGCAAGAGGCTTGTACAAATCCTAAAAAGTAAAGTTATATGCATATGAAAATTTGCGAGGGTGATTAGAATACATACAACAAATTTGGTGCAAAGTATTTTTATCTGAGACATAGTATTTTTTGAGTACCTGCTTCGTTCAGATGCCTACCGTTCTACATTGGATTCTTCCATGAAAAGACACATTATTCGTCAGAATCCGCCAGATGGTAACACCATAACAGACATATGTTTAGCTGCTTGTTATAGATGTGTATAGCAAATAGAAATAAGCGTTGCCGACCCCATAAAGTATGTACTTCTTAATCAGCATCAATAGACGAGTCCATATAACTATAAGTTGGTGTGAGAAGAGAGAAAATCGAAGAGTAACGGAACAAAATGGAAACAGATAAAATATTATGAAATTCTAGTCTAACATTTGGTGGTTCTATTCTATGAAATCTGAAAATCAAACCGTTTTACTGTTCTCTTTGAAACACTTGACTCTTAATTCTTCTGAATACAAAGTAGTGCTACAAAAATATAAATAATCTGTCTCGAAGTTGTAAGAAAAAAGTATCTTATTTACTGCATTATGTCGCAGTGATTTACTAGTGCATATGAGCACCTTTCTGCTATATTTGGCAGAAGCCCTCTCATACGATGCAACATTGTACTCCCATGGACAAATAGTATACGGATGAACATCCCCTCTTGTTTTTGCTGCTTCCTTAACCATTCCACATTCGTACTTTGCCTCCTTTTGGCCAATTTGGCACAGCCAGAACTTTATTTTTCTTGGCCACAATTAGGAAAAGCGAAGGAAGCAGCAAAAACAATCACTGAAGTGGGAAAGACCACCCCCAAAAAACATTTCTCCAAATGTCACAGGGAAACGGAGCAAGCAAAAAGAAATTGTGCCACCCAATGGACTCGTAGATACCTCATCCGACCACCGAAAAAAAACTGCTCCCCGGAGCGAGGTTCTTCTTCTTCAATTTCTCACACAAACTGTATATAATATTTATTATGTTGGCATAATAAATTGCAACATGAGGCAGATTCATTTTCGCACTTGCGGACATTTTTCATTTCGTTGCCGGCCGGGCAGCAGCTGCTCGGACTTGGCGGGGCTGACGGGGTGACAGGGGCAGGAAAGGATGGGGGGGGGGGGGCGGGGCAAGGGGAAGGCAGGAAGGGTGTGGCGAGAATGTGAAGGACGCGTTGGCGCCACATTCATGTCGCTGCTGCTCGTCGCCTCGTTGCGGTGCTGCTGGGGGACTGATGGACAAAAAGTACTTGTTGCCATTCGCTGGTTTGGTTCATTCCTGAGATATGAACATTGCGGTTTTCTATGGTCTGGAATTCATCGAAATCCATGCATACAACAATTTTTAATTGATTTTTGATAAATACCTTAAGAAAATACTCCCCTTTTTCAGTTCTACTCTAACAATCTAAATTACATTCCACTTGATCTGTTTACAAGGAATCACCTACATTGCTCTATAATCCCCTCACGCCCCCTACATCGCACCCCCCCAACACCCAATCTCATCTTTTGTAGTGCGAGAGGGAGACAAAACTAATTAGGAAGAGGAGCAGGAAAAGATTGAACGAGAACCAAGCTTTTTGAGTTTTAGTAGTAGAGTAGTCCAAGTCCAAGCAGACTCGAGTCGAGCGGCGATCACTTACTTCTCCCTTATGTATACGAGTATGTATAAATATATATAACGTTTTTGGATGTCTCCTGAGATATTTTTGAATCTGTGACTCCAACAACTTTGGCTCCGCGCTGCACAATTTGTATTTTTCCGATCTTTTTCCTAAAAGAACTGGTTCATTTCTGATTTCTACACAGCTCCATTTCGCATTTCGACCCATGGCCCCATCCTCACAAGATAGCCGGGCGTGTGCACATTTTAAAAGGGAAATTTAATAAACCTTGTCCTATTTCATGCTCATTAGTGTCATGATAAATTGGAGAACCACGCAACCAGACCAGACCCGACCCGACCCTACCCGACCCGAGCATACCGGAGACCAGACCAGCGGACGAGCGGACGAGCGTACCAGCGTAGCAGCGGACAAGGGGGCCATTCTCAGGTGAGAGTGGAATGGCAATGGCCCATGTAAATGTGGCCAGGGTAGAGGTCCAGAGGCCAGTGGCGCTTAACTGTTGCATCCTCGGGAACTCGGAAATGGCTATAAATTAGAAAAGTTCGCCTCTGATGCGAACAAGTTGCCTTTGATTTGCCCGATTCCCGTTTCGCTTGCCGTTTTATGGCCGTTTAATGTGCTGACATGTCGACAATTACAAGAGAAAGATTGTTTTCGAGAGGAGAGGGAGATATCGCCAGGGTGTCTGGGTGCCAGGGTGGCGGGGGATGCCATGTTCGAGGGTGTTGGGTGGTGATGGGCGCTACAGTTCATAGAGCTCACATAAATTCAGGCAATAATCTCATTGTTTTCACATGCGCTTCATCGCGCGGTTTTTATCACGCATCGGAAAGACAGAAGTAGAGGCAGAGGCGAGGACCTAGAGCCGAGACACTTTTCCCCTTCTTGTTGGTGTTGCTTTTTGTTGCCAACAAAGTTTTCCCAGACACAATATGTCTGCGGCAGTCGGTTGTCTATATATCTGTCTGTCTGTCTGTCTGTCTGTCTGTCCATCTGTCACTCTGTTTGTCTGTCTGTCTGTCCAACTGTCCTTTCGGCTTTGCTTGCATCTGCCAACTGATGATGTAGCTACTTTTATGGTTGATGTTATTACTTTTTTGTTCAAGCTCACTCCCTCCCTGTCTCTTGCGCGTTTTCCTTTGCCCCTGCGTCTGTCCTTTGGACTGACACTGCGGCATGCAACAGCATAAAAAGTTGAAGACAATCTGGAGGACATGGATGAAGTCAAAACTGCTTTATACCCTAGACAAAATGTCCTGCTCGAGGTTGCGGAATTGGTATCTGCCTAAGAAACCGGATTAAACGTCTAACTTCTACGAACTAGATGAAATCTTTAATTATTACAACTTTATCAATTATTACTGGATTTACATCAACTCAGGTTTAAACCATTTGGCAATCATTTATTCGACTTTGGAAGTATAATCTAATATAACCTTTTACCATTCTTTATGAGAGTACATATATTTAAACCATACAAAAATTGAGCAGAATCCGTGTCTAGTCCTGTTTCATCATATTGCGCATACGCACGTGCATATGTTACTATACACAGATGTCCTTGTGCCAGGATTGCAGGGTATCTGACCCAACTTTCAGTCTATTTTGTTGTTGGTCTGCTCTGCTGGAGCATTGCTTTTTGCCTTTGTGGCTGCTGCTGCTGCTGCACTTCAGACGTCGCCGTGGCCGTGGTTGGCGACGACA